CGAATCTCTCGACTCCCTGGTTAATCGAGGCTCTAAATTGCCACGGCTTACAGCGTCCGACTGGAAACGATACCTGGGCCTAAAGCGTGGCTGACTGCTGTGCGTGGAAACAAGGCGGGTCGTAACAGGGAACTCCGTTACGTCGGTGGGCTCTTGCACGACTCCGTGTGCTCGTAACAAAGCCAGACGCTCACCGGAGCCAACGATACGTGCATCCGTAACGGTGCCTTCTATAACACTGGTGACTGAAGCTCTCTATCGATGCCCCCTTCCCCTGCCAACCGAACCCGCAACTGGTGGATGTACGCTGCGTGCCCAGCTTGCGTAGCATCGTCGCCAGGTTAAGACTTTAGGGGGAAGCTCCTCCCACCTCTTCAACTTTAGTAGAACGAACGCTGGAGAGGAGGTAAATAGCTGAGCAGAGAAAACGACGAGGTCGCAGCTTCCGCCCCAGCCCGCAATAAGAGACAAGACACCAGCTCCTTTACTCGAGTCTGTCAATCTAGGATTGTGGTATCCTCGCACTCTCGACCAGCTGTTACCAGACGGCGGTCGTTACACAACTCGAGCGCGGACAAGAAGCGCTTGTTACGAGGAGGCTACACGAGATGCGAGGCACGCACGTGACCTAACATGGCGCACAGGACGTCAAGTAGGACAGAGCGTCGTCCCCGCGCCGCCGCCGAGCTTGCAGCTGCTGTCACCGAGGCGGCGGCGCTCCGTGCCTTCCCGCCTGCGGGAGAGTGGAGCGTGTCCAACGCACTCCAGTCGACGACGCTGGTGCGTCCACCGCGGAAACCGGGCAGCCGGAGAAGAGCAAACAGAACCCGCAACGACGCGTCTCAATGTTCCGTAACAATAGAAAGTTCGTGTGACGTGATACTAAATGCCCGTCTAAACTCCAACCTAACGTGAACGAGCGGAGAAGCACGATCACAGCGATCGAGTATCTGTCCACTGACGACGGAACGCAAGAGCACCCAGAGATGGAAGGTTCAGTCACTCTGGGGTTCTGGCGACCGTAAGCGGAGGGTGCTATCGTTTCCGAGAATATTCGCGTCCGATCGCGTACGAAAGAAATAATAAAAAGAAAATAACTGCAGCTGTTAAATTCTCTTCGGTGGCAATGCAGCAGTGGAGTGACCGATGCCTCAAAGTCGCATGCGGGCGATGCCCTTCGGCTCTGCGAACAGCCGTCGTTAACTCGCCGCTATACCCGGCTCGTATAAGTATGGCCACCCCTGCCAGTAGGAAATTCTTGGCGCGAATAGCCCTAGGGTGACCCTCTATCGTAATAGGCCCGAGGTCCTTCCGGTGAGATAAGAGACGCAAGGGTTATTCGCTTCACGACAGGACAATCAACTTCTAAGCTGCAGCTGCGACAACTGGTGATGAGGGTGTGCGTAGTACCTCATGACGCAAGCTCCGGCTCACAGCGAGCCCAGGCGAGACTGAAACGGAATCACCTAAAAACCATAAATAAAACTTAAAAGCGACACGATCTCCACGGACCCACGGGGAAGCTGTTTTAACTCGTTCAATAACTTCATCACACTGCCATTCCCCCTTTTTGCGTTCCTCATGAATGGTTCATTTGGAGCGTCGACGTGAACGACGTCGGCTGTCTACCGTACGAAGACATCGAGGGTCTGCTTTGCTGGCTTACACCAACAACACGGAGGAGACCCGGCCCAAGCTGCAAACGATGCCCGACGAGAATACAGCGGCAGACGCACGCATCTGGCTTCATCGCGTGCAAGCGCTGCCCTCGTTACAGACGCTGGCGGCGACGCTGACGCGAGCTAGACGGCGCCACGAGGATTCACTAGTGGTGTTGCTTCCACCCCACAGCGGACTTTGACCCGTCCCGAGGATCCTCACCCACGTCCGAGACAACAAAGGCGCCATATTTGCATGCCCTAACGACGTCAGACTCATTTACAACCAGCCTAAGCTGTCTGCATCTGCCCGCGCGACGCCGTCGAATTGGGGACGCAGCGCGCTTTAGGCTTTCGAGCAAACAAGTTTTCCGTGGGTACGAAACAAGCCGACGACGCATATTTCACTCGCATCGCACGCATAGCCCCGGTTGCGCCACGAGGGAACTACTATACGCGGGGTGGTTAATTGTTTCAGCCTCGAAACATCACGCGCCTCCTTTAAGAAGAGAAACCAGCAGAGAAAGTCGAATCGGACGGAAGGCAACCACGAAACGAATAAAAGGCGAAAGCTCGATTTCCCTGTTAAACGTAACCGAAACAAGCTACACTAGCCTCGACAACGTAGCGCAAATCAGTATTCACATGTCGTAGTCAGCACGAGCTGTGGGTAAAACAAGTTATCGCTCGCAATAAGCAACAATTCTGACGATGCAAAACGATTCTAGCGAACGCTCGCTGTCAGCACGCTCTCAGGCACAAAGTTCACAAACATGGCGGCCAGTGAAAACTCCCTAGAGCCTAGTGCGAGACAAGTTCACCCGCAGGCCGTTGCGGAGGGAACGACGAACAAAGCGTAAAACGGAAACACCGCATTTGACGCCAATCGACGGGGAGATTCCGTCCGGGAGGCGAGCGACGGTGGCGTTTAATTCCGCCCGGGCAGTCCGTCGGTGAGTCAGAGAGTGCATTGTTGCGAAAGCCGCACTCGACACTTCCAGCGCTCTCGTCGCTGCGCCGAGCACTGTCAACGCGATAAAAACGGCCAGAGAAATTACGGTCAACGACCCATAAGTTGCTGCTGCCTGCTCGCCTGGCTGGTTGCCCCGCGGGAAATAAGGTCGCGAAAAGCGCCAGAACGGTCTGGTTAAAGAAGAACAAGAAGAATGGGCAAAAGAAAAAGAAAACCGAGAAAGGGTGATATCGCGTTTCGAAATAGTGCACCGTCCCTCCGCCAGGAATTCTGGTTGAAAACGAGCGCATATAGTCGTTTCCCGTGGCGCCCATTCTAAAAATACCGTGGACGCGAAAAGAAAAGCACCAAGGCGGCGGCGCTCTGCCTTGTTCTAACGCAGTAACGTCTTCCTCGACACGACCTCGCAGCACCAGGGTAAAGCGTTCCGAGCGCGGAGCTTTCGAATCACGCGACTGAGAAACACGGGCTCGGAAAGACTTGACCAGCAAGCAGTCAGTCACCGACCTAACAGACGATGCCCAAACCCTCCGTCAGGGCGGTCAGGGTGCTGACCACGGCGGCGAAATCGCCCACTAAAGAGCAGCCGGGCTCTTTAACAAACAAATAAAATAAAGAAACAAAATGGGCGAGGGCTTCACTCTCACCCTTTCCGTTCCAAAAGCACGAAAATATCAACCCGCTTCCGCGATGTCGAGGCGAAGGAAGCTGCCAAACTGCTTTGGAACCATCTTCTTTTCCCCACTCTTCCCGGCGGAGAAAGAGAGAAGGTGAAACTGCACCGGACGTAAGTTGGCAACCTGGGTAGGACCCCCCCACCAAAAAATAAAAAGAAAGAAGCGCGCGTGGCGCCATCTGTGAGTGGGAATTCGCGCAAGCTGCAACGTCCAACAGCTGATTCGCCCGACAGGGCATGCACTGCACTCATCGGGGCTGTTTCAGCTTTGCTCGTCCGTTTCACGACATGCTTTACGAGCTCCGGGGCGAGTCATCGCCCACGTGTCGGCGGTGCAAGTGCCAGCAAAATCCCTCCGCGAGCAAAAGGCAGGGGAGAGCCAGAGACGAGTCGGCGTTAATAGAAAGATGGTGGCAAGAATCAAAGAAAGAAAAAAAAAAGATACCGAGGGAAGGGGGGGGGGGGGGGGGTAACCGTGCAGCGGCGGGCGCCGACGGCCCGAGGGTGCTGGCATGCAAGGGACGCACGCATGGCTGGCCTCGCGAGGGGGGAACGAACGCGAAACGCTTACGCAATCGCCGAGCGGGCGCACACACGCCAGTCTTCGATATCTTTATGATTCGCCGGCGTTAACCCCCTTCCCCTTTATTAGGAAAGTTCCCCGAGACCTAGTCAAAAAAATTAGTTAAAGCAGTGCCAAAATTTTACCAAGGAAAAAAAAAAAAAAAGAACGTTAGGAAGAATTTTGAAGAGTTTAGACTTCAGCGTCAATGGACCGTAAGCGAGAAAGGGTTTTTTAATAGAGATATTAAAATAAAAAATAAACGCTTTGTGAGAAGTGCTGGACGTTCTCACGGACAGGTGAACGGGCTCCCCGAAAATTTTCCTCGCCCCTCACAATGGTGGGAAAGGAGGGAAGAGGAAGGAGTGTCCCTTTTTCGAATTAGCTGGCTGGTTGAAGCAGCAAAACATCGCGCGCCCAAAGAAAAAACAAAAAAAAAAACATATCTATAAGTATTTCGTACACGCACGGGAGGTTGTCGACCCGTCAGATTTGGGTCTGGACCCGGAGCGTGAATTTACCCTCTAAAAACCCAAATTTAATAAAAAAGAAAAAAAAAAAAAAGCTCTTAAAAAAAAACTAAAAAAAAAACGGTGACAAGAAAGAAAAAAAGTGACAGGTACTCCTTTGCGGAGCAGACAGGCCGCCGAACGAAAACGTACCAATCGCAGCGTTGAAAATCCCAGCGAAAATTAAAATAATAATAAAAAAAAAAAAAGGCCTCGTAGAAACAAGACAGGCGGCAGGACCGCTCGAAAGAGAGATGGCACCAGGAACTGCCAAAAATAGACGACGGGGTACAAACGATCGCTTTCAGCAAAGCTCGCCCAGTGCTATAAAAAATAAACAAAAAGCATCAACAACATGAAGAAACACGCTCAACTTTAGCGAAAACCGACGCTGTTCCCAAATCTCGTTCATTTCTCCGCGGGTCAGAGCTCGAACGCAATCCCACCGCGATCGCTGGCCACCAAATCGCAGCCCGTTCACGTCCAGCCCCGGACCAAACAAATCACCTCGAACTAACAAAACAAAACAAAAAACAAAAAAAACACCGATTGATTAGGAAAAGAACAATGTCCGAGCGAAGATCAGCCCGTTGACAGGGGGGTCCGGACGCAGCAGACTCACCGAAGAGCTCCGCGTCCCACGCGGCCGTAATCCATTGGGCTGGTCGGGGTCTGCTGTGGGCACTTCACGACGGCACGCGCTTCGAGTATCCAAGCGACGGATCAGAGCAGCGGCCGAAGCTCGGGCCGGGCGGCGCGGTACAGGTGTGCGGACAGAGCCATTCCAGCGAGCGGGACCGACGACGGCAAAAGCGGCAGCCCGGCGGCGACGGGACCAACAGCGCGCGAGCGGCCCCCGAGAAGCCCGATCGAGTTTAGAGATCGTTCAACCCTGCCCGGCGTGCACCGCGGCGGCAGCAGGAGGAGGGCGAGGGGGCGAACGGGAATAACGAGGAGAAACCTCCGCAAGGAGAGAAAGAAAAAGAAAGAGGAGGGACGCGAATAGCGAAGGGGCAGAAAGAGAGAAAACGGAGAAAGAGACTGGGCCAACGCTGGGCGCTCTCTCGCTCGCGCGTCGGAAAAGAGGGAGAGAGAGAGAGAGAGATAAAAGCCGGGAGAGGAGGAACGATAAACGCGATGCAGAAAGAAAGGCGCGCGGCGGCGGCAGGCTACGCTGTTGGGGTCAACGGAGGGGTGGGCTGGCGGCTGGCTGGCTCGCCCGTAGTGCAAGCGGCTCGGCCGGTGGCTGTTCTGGCAGCGCCGTCCAAAACGCGAAACGGAGGAACACGCCTCAGGAGGAAGTGTGCGCGGTGGTGTCTGCTGCGTGGTGCTTGCTGCATGGATGCCGCCATGGCCGACAGCGAACATGCACGCGCCAGCCGGGCAGGCCAAGAGAGAACGAGGCAGAAAGAGCGGCGAAGAAAACTGCGCTCGGAAAGAGGGAAGGACCGAGGGTCCTCCTTTCGGGAGAAGTAAAGCCAGAATGGCAGAGAGATAGAGAGAGAGAAAGACGCGAAAGCGATGAAAGAAAGCAAAGAGCAAAGGTGTCCTTGAGCTCCGAAGATGAGATGTAGGAACGAAAAAGCGTGTATGGAGATGACCCGGCCGACGCTAGCTCCATCCGGAGAGAAAAATGAAACTACTGACACAAAATAGGAAGAAAAAAGAGAAAAGGTTCGAAAGATTGACGCAAAGCGGTGGGAAAGGTGGGCCCCGTAATTAACGGATTATCGGCTCAAAAGCTTCGACCTGGAGCGCGGGGGACTTGAATTGATTCGAAAAGCGAACGCGTTGTCTACTCACGAAGTCACGTACAGATTCCAGGAAGTCGAGAAATTCAGCGCGGCAGCCGGCACGCACGCCAACTCAAAATTGAACAATTGACGACGAACGGGGTCGACATATATTGCGTCCAACAAAGAGAGGGAAATTGTAGAACTGCTCCAGACCTGGCCCAGAACGTTCACTAAAGAGTCGGTCAATTGCTCCTACATTTGGCTTTGCTGAACTACGTTACCTATATACATACTGTTTAAAAAAGCGAAAATTTACGAAGGTTTTCCTTCGCTTTCACTGCACGAAGTTTGAACGTAACAAGAAAGTTGAAGTCAATCAGAACTAAATAAAAAGAAGAAAAAGAAGTTTGGGACGGCAGGAATTCGTAAATGAGTTAACGAACGTTCGGAACAGAAAGTCGCCCATTTTGAACATTTGTTTTTTTCTTTTCATGTATAATTAATCTAGTTAATGACAGAAGTCAACGTAATACAAACCCAATATTATATATATATATATTTACATTTTTAAATTTACGGTTACAGCCCCTACCTTCACGGCACATACTTGGGCATAAGAAAATATATGCGTTCAACGCCCAAGAGCATGGCATGCCTTACAAAAGCACATCGGGTGGAAACAAGAATGAAAGATGCATTTAAAGATTCGTTTTGAACATACCGCAGCGAAACGTTTTTGTCGCTGTACACTAGTGAAGGCTCGCTTTATGCGCCGCTACCTCAGCCTGTTTCTTGTAATTACTCGAACCACATCGTATGAGCTAAAACAACCGGACCAGGCACAGCCCACACATCAAGAAAACTACAAATTCGTGAGTTGGGGAACTTCGACGCCATCCATGCTGCGTTGAGTTACGTGCTGTTAACTGCGCTTCTAAAGCCGACCTTTTCCCCAAACTCTAAACACGCGTTCTACAAACGTTCGCTGAGCCCCGACTCATTTTCCGAGGGAAGCTCATTAACCTCGGCAGCAACAACACACGGGATAAACACCGATAGCAATTACCTCGAGCCTTCTAATTGAGAGAGGTAGGAGAGACTCTGTTTAGCCACGTTTTCATGCCAGAGCAAATAAATTGTTTCTCCCAAGGAGCGTGGCTGCGAGACAAGGGAGAAGAGCGTCCCCCGAAGCGGGCCTCCCCCTTTTGCGCTTTGGCGACACCGAAAATAACCGAGAGCAGCGGCAGCAGAGGGTCCAGGCGGCACACAATGTGCTGCCGTGTCCCATCAGGCAGCGACACGCGGCCGCCACGTCCGACAACCCCAAGGCCTGTCAGGAATCCTCGCCCCGACATCTAAGTGCTCGACGACGGCGGCGGCGGAGCAACAGCACACCTCTCGTATACGCTTTTCGGTCGCCGCAGCACCCCAAAGCACACGGCTAATGCATCGTACAAAAGGCAGTCTTCCACGGACACTGTCTGATGCGTGTCTGCATACATGTCGGAACTTTACAGTGGACGGCCAACACCTGCCGGAAAGCAAGGCGCCAGTGCATGCAGCTGAATTACAACCTAACAAGGTACAACCCTATAGGTCGAACGAGGTCCCGATTCGGATACGACAACCCGAAATGGTTGCTGCTTACACCCAACTAATCCGGCCAGAAATAGCTGTTGTATGCACGGCTAACGAAACGAAACATCGACAAATAAAAATGAACGCGCGTACGATATATGAAGGGGCATATTTACCCTTCGTATGACTTCAGTAACACGCATTTGCAGTCCAGCGTTGTTACGAAAATCTCTAGGCTAGCGTTTCACCTGATCTTTCGTTCAACCTGCGCATCTATCACGTAGCTAAGGCCAAAATATCGATGGTCATCGATTTTTATAAACTTTTCACGGTGCACTCAATATCCGTCCTCGAGTATCTACAAAATATGTCACCAAAACAATCATTTTCTTTCGAGAAAACGAATATTGAAGTTTACGCGTATGCACCACCGAATCGCCGGCTTCCGCTCTACAGTCAGGGGCGCTCGTGACGTTAATTGTTGTAACACAGAGTTGAGGGCGCTCCCTCCTCAATGGCGTTGTTTCTGTTTGTCGCACTATAGTGTGACACGGGCATTGGAAGGTAATTCGCACCGTGCTAACAAACAGAACCCTCCATATCATTCTGCTTCTGAAGTGGCATCTGGGTCCATATATGGGCGGATCGCGAATACAGCCGCCACATGTGGTTCTCAGGGAGGCGATCGCCGGCGGATCAAATGCGAACGGTGAATCGCTGGTAATGTCGTGCTGATTATCTTATAACCTTTGCTGGTAACTGATTGACTCAGACAAGCTTCATGAATGGGAGTTAATTATTTCCCACGGGCTTTTGCGAGGGCCTCTGACTGCTTCTGACGCTGGGCGAAACAGACTCGAGCTGACCATGTGCTGATGTTCATACAACATGTGACGTCACAACAAGATGGCGGACCAGTAAAGTTGCAAATTGGTTCCGGTATCGGTCTTATCATATTTCTACGATTAAAGATAAAGTTTTGGGGAAATTCACTTGCTCCTTTAGGCTCGGTTTCTTGCGCTCTTTCAGGAGATGAATTGAAAACGTTCATATTGACACGCTCGAAATCTTTTCTTTGTTAATGCCATTTTTTTTATTAAAATGATTTATGACGCAGGTGCTTAAAAAATGCGGCATGTGTTCTCGGTTTGTTTCGTATAGCTCTCCGTTTGACCCCTCCCTCCCATTGCAAATCAACATATAGCCCATCCTTGCGTCGAGACGACAGTAAGAGCTAGTTCTTTCCAAACTTGCGTCTTGTTTGCGCGTTTCGCTTCGTCGATAAAGCAAACAGCGAGGAGATCAAAAGCGCGAGTACGAGCGTGCCCGCAACGTCAAGCGCTTCCCAAGCACGAGCACTGGCGTAACCATGAAACGGCTCGTTCCCTTAGATCAATGAAACGGTGAAGTAATTCACCGGGGCACGGAAAAGAGCTCGAAGGCGACGCCAACGGGGACTTAAAGGGGTTATGACACGCCAAAAACAAAATATGAGATAACTATACTGCTAGGACCCATTGTATGTTCCTATAATCCTGCTATATTTGTTTTGAAAAAGGCGCGATAATTTCGTGCAGAAATCGATTTATATGCGGGCCCCTCGGAGGGGCAGATCCGGGCGGACCGGGAGGCTGATGACGTAGCCAGCCTCCAGCGTGGTGTCCCCTTGCACGCACTCACAGACTTGGCTCTCTTGGCGTATGGAGCCTCAGCTTCCCCGTTTACCTTCCACGTTTCCAGCATCCGGTCTGTGACGATTACGTCTACGGCATCACATGCCTTGTCGAAGTGTTCGACATTGATCGCAGCAGCGATGAGAGTGAATGCTATCAAGAGATGTTGGAAGCTGTTCATTTTGACTGCGACCCGCTGGCGACGAGCTCCAGCGACGACGAGTTCGCCGTGGTCACCGTCGTCCGGGAATGTCTCGCTGGCGCATGCAGGGTGGAAGGTCAACCGGCCGGGGGGCGAGAGCGAGAATAGCTTTCAGTTTACCGAGCTGTTTGAGCGGTTTGGTTCGTACCGCGACGAGAAGAGCTTGGGCGATCATGGGGGCGCCTAGAATGAGAGAGTGTTCATGGTCACGTGGTTTATGGACACCATGGTGTGACTAACTTCAGCAGTGTTGCCTGGTCGCCAGATGAAAATGATAAAAATTCGTAAATTGAATATTGCCATTATCAGAGCTCTAAAAATTGCGTAACTTGGTGTATATACTAAGTAGCCTATGAGCATTCCATTTCAAGAATAATCTATCCGTTTAATTTTCGTGTCATAACCCCTTTAATTGTCATTAAGCGTTACGTCTTCCAGATCTCGAACAAGGACACGTGCCCGGAGTACAGGCAGCAGAGTCGTATAGGCAGTGTCTTAGGTAACGCATACATTTACTTACTTAGTTATAGCGGTACAGCGAAGTATAACGAGGGAATATACAGATCAAAACATTCCCCGAATCCTCAAGTACGGTTCGCTATATTCGCCAGGGGTTATCGAAGCTGTAGAACGTGATTCGACGTAAACTCGAGCGTAACCGCCGTAACCTATCGCCCTTGATCCGTGGAAGTGGTCG